AAGTGCTACCAAATCCGACTTCAGGCATTGCTACACATTATCGATGAAACGTCGAATCGTCGTATTTATTTGACATTTGTTATTCCCATAACAGTATTTTTACAGAATAAATTAATTGCAATGATACATCATTAATAATTACTTGTCTATTTTGGTTGTGTGTGTGTGTTTGCCTATCCCTTTCCCTATTTCACAATGAACAAGTTTGATGACCCTGGTTTAAGAGCCACTGGCTACAAAGTTGTCAACATGTTACCTCAAATAAGCACCACCCAGAAATGAAAGTGTTACAAAGTGGCTCTTATTTGAGGGTTTTTACGGTACATTATTTTATTTAACAACAAAAGGTTTTAAAAATAAAAAAAAAAGTCAAAAATATATATTTTTTGTAACAAAAGTTTTCATTGAAAATAGAAAATTTTCATTATCATCACAAAATGAATAATTCTGTAGAGGTTCACCGAAGGCGTCTGCACAACAAACATCAGCACTATGTCAGAAAAAAAGTCATTTGACAAATTTTTCATAATTTTTGTTTGGTAACTTGTCATACACCAAAAACCAGGTCAAATAGTATTAATGTTTTTTGAGAAGTCATTCACAGATGGACACAGAGCCATCCCTATAGCAAATGCTCCAATGTTTTATATGTTTTTTTTTGCGAGCCAAACCTTAAACTGCGGCTCTGGGTGTATAATAGAAAAGACCATCTGGTCGGAGTGCTCCATGAAATCACTCTTCTTGATAATGAGAATGTGTGAAGTTTTTTTTTTCTTTTCTGTTGAAGACAATCAGGAAGTTTTGTAGGTTTTATCATTCCAAGTTTGACATGATTATAGAATAATTCTAGCCTAAATATTGATGAGAAGGCATGATTAAAACCGACAAGATAATCAACAAGAAATGATTATTCAAGTAAAAGTTTTTATCTAAACATGACAATTTCACAATAGTGTACATTATATGATAGTACATAGGTGTAACCAATCCAGTAACGTTTATATACATAGTAAACGATGAAGGGCCATTCAAGTTACATTTCCCATGATGCATTTGTGCAGAGCAAAATGTTTAGATCTTTAAGATTTAACAGAGAAAGAATTTCCACAGCAAAGAATTTTCATTTTCCTGACTAGGAAAATTATATTTCTCATGAACTGTTATCCCTGTGCAAATATAAGCCAAGGTCAATGTATTTTGTGCCTGTAATTAAAAAATACTGACACCAGCAAAAAGACAACTTAATTACATTGTTAAGTAGGTCTTCCAAATCCCTTACTGAATTTGACATAGATTGTTCAACTATAAAGGGAAAAGGCCATCAGAAAGAACGGTTTTGAAAAGCACTTGATGCCTTAATAGCTTGTATCGATGTGTTTCTGTAAAGTGGTTTCTACTTGAATTCTGAAGGTTTTTTTAGTGTTCTATTATATTTTCTTGGGCATAAAATCAACTCTGGAGCCTTAAAACATGCATTTAAATTTCTACGGCTGAAATTGTTTGCATGAAATATTTTAAAGATGTTTGACACTGATGGGATGTGACAGAAGGCAATGTAAATGAAATCGTGATATCACTGTTTGTTGTTTTTATTGCTTTTCACAAAACGGAGTACAATTTTTTTACTTTGATTATAACAAAATGTAATTTCGCATTTCAATAGTTGCGATTATAAATGCTGGGCTAAATTGATTTTTTTTTCATATGTAGTGAGATCTCATCACACAGTATTGGTATCAGTATAGAAATTGCAGGCCCTTTTTAATTTACCCTTGGCGATATCTCTAATGGACAATTAAGGTGTCTATAACTGACTGTTTCCGAAATTCCCTAAAATCAAAATATATTTAAGCTTTGGAAACTTGTATGATTGTACTGTACATAATTTGAACTATGACATTTGAACTATGACACTGAAGTGAGAGTCTTTGCCATTCCCAAATTAAATAGAATGGATTTGAGATTAAGAGAAAGGAAAGGATTGTCTGGACCGATGGTTCTCTGCATTTCCTGGATTATGTTGTTTAGAGAATAAACTTCAAAGTATCGTTTGTTGACTCTGAAGAAGTAAAAAGAAGCATAGGAGAAAATTAAAAAATTAATTATTTTATCAGAAAAAAAAAATAATTAAATTTTTTAACAGCACATTTGTAACTACTGCAAAAATAATGTAAAACATTTGTTTTGGTGAATTTCAACTGAAAAAAAAAAAAATTTACATAATTCTGGAGCAGTACGGCAAGTCACTGAGATTAATCCCTCAAAAGAATACAACTGTTCGATCATAAATGAAAACAAAACCAATTTCAAAAGAAAGAACATAATTTAATTATAGAGGGCAGTATATAATCAGAATAAAATCAGCATTATTCAACACCAGAGGGCAGCATATCGTCAAAGACTGCACTAAAGGCCGATAACATATTAGTGAAATCTATATGATTTCCTAAAATAAATATTTAGCAGCCAAGGTATGACTTTGTTGGGGAGTCACAGAACCATGTGATTTAGAAATTACTTACTTTAACTTGGAGAGTTTCTGCAGAATAATACTGAGTTTTTCCAGCATTTTGATATTCAAATTTGGAGTTTTCAACAACAGAGAGCATGTCCTAAACCATATTTCAGTGCTGCAGCTTTCAAGAAACTGCGGCAAAATAACTGAGGACAAAATAAAAAAAAAATTCTTGTGAAAACAACATTAAAGCTCAATTTTCAGTGAAATGTAATATGGATGATAATGATGACTCCTTTATTCATGTGATAACCATGGCACATAACCTTGGGTTTGACCTACCTGATTCCATAGACATCTGGAGGAAGGAATCTACAACGTTTCCAACCAATGCTTTGTTGGTGCCTTTCATATATGGCAAAATCACTGCTGTACCTTGGTAGTGGGTGAACAACTCCTTAGTTGTGTCATTTTTCAGATCATTCTTCAAGACATCAAATACGTGTGCTAGGTAGTCAACTGGTAAAAGAAAACAAAGAAATCGGCCATAGTCAGGGTTCTTCCTTTCTGGAAGCAGGGAGACCAGTGCAGTGCAAACAGAACACTTGATTTGGCAATGTTTTAAACCTGATTAGTATCTTCTTTTCTCCATATGGTATATTTAGCAACATTTATTTCTAATACTGTAGGTGAAAGAATCCCACTTAGCTTGGCTATGTTCATGATTGAGTCGTTTTGAAAAACTCAGATTACCATATAATAACAGAGTGATGATTACCTTGCGTTAATGTCTTGAGTATAATTAATGAAGACAGCAATCTTATATGTAAAATACTACTATTGAAAAATAATCCTGTTTTACTCTTCTCTGGCTGTGTGACTGTCTTCACACTACCCCCGGGACTCCTTTCAACTTCTACAAATTTAACAAGAGTTGGTTTGTAAAGTTCTTCACCGAGGTGCCGGTAAGTTGATGACATGGCAGTTTTCTGAAAGTAACCAGACAAACAAGTCATCAGACCCATCCATGGCATTGTAGAGGTTAAGTGTATTTGCTTCATGTGTGGAAGATTGAGAGCTACATTACATGCCCCAGGAAATAACCTTGCTGTACAATGGACTTGGACATAAATAATCTAAGACTTGTACTATTACTGTACCTGTGATCACTGTACATAATATAGACCAGTAGATATATTGTAGACATGGTAAATGTAATGAAAGACCCATGTTATTACTGTACCTGTGTTCCCTGTACATATTCTAATGATAATATAGACCAGTAGATATATTGTAGACATGGTAGATGTAATGAAAGACCCATGTTATTACTGTACCTGTGTTCCCTGTACATATTCTAATGATAATATAGACCAGTAGATATATTGTAGACATGGTAAATGTAATGAAAGACCCATGTTATTACTGTACCTGTGTTCCCTGTACATACTCTAATGATAATATAGACCAGTAGATATATTGTAGACATGGTAAATGTAATGAAAGACCTATGTTATTACTGTACCTGTGTTCCCTGTACATATTCTAATGATAATATAGACCAGTAGATATATTGTAGACATGGTAAATGTAATGAAAGACCCATGTTATTACTGTACCTGTGTTCCCTGTACATATTCTAATGATAATATAGACCAGTAGATATATTGTAGACATGGTAAATGTAATGAAAGACCCATGTTATTACTGTACCTGTGTTCCCTGTGTTCTCATGATAATATAGACCAGTAGATATATTGTAGACATGGTAGATGTAATGAATGACCCATGTTATTACTGTACCTGTGTTCCCTGTACATATTCTAATGATAATATAGACCAATAGATATATTGTAGACATGATAGATGTAATGAATGACCTATGTTAATACTGTACCTGTGTTTCTTGTACATATTCTAATGATAATATAGACCAGTAGATATATTGTAGACATAGTAGATGTAATGAAAGACCCATGTTATTACTGTACCTGTGTTCCCTGTACATATTCTAATGATAATATAGACCAGTAGATATATTGTAGACATGGTAGATGTAATGAAAGACCCATGTTATTACTGTACCTGTGTTCCTTGTACGTGTTCTAATGATAATATAGACCAGTAGATATATTGTAGACATGGTAGATATAATGAAAGACCCATGTTATTACTGTACCTGTGTTTCTTGTACGTGTTCTCATGATAATATAGACCAGTAGATATATTGTAGACATGGTAGATGTAATGAAAGACCCATGTTATTACTGTACCTGTGTTCCTTGTACATATTCTAATGATAATATAGACCAGTAGATGTATTGTAGACATGGTAGATGTAATGAAAGATCCATGTTATTACTGTACCTGTGTTCCCTGTACATATTCTAATGATAATATAGACCAGTAGATATATTGTCGACATGGTAGATGTAATAAAAGATCCATGTTATTACTGTACCTGTGATCACTGTACGTGTTCTAATGATAATATAGACCAGTAGATATATTGTAGACATGGTAGATGTAATGAATGACCCATGTTTATACTGTACCTGTGTTCCCTGTACATATTCTAATGATAATATAGACCAGTAGATATATTGTAGATGTGGTAGATGTAATGAAAGACCCATGTTATTACTGTACCTGTGATCCCTGTATGTGTTCCAATAATATAGACCAGTAGATATATTGTAGACGTGGTAGATGTAATGAAAGACCCATGTTATTACAGTACCTGTGTTCTCTGTACATGTTCTATTGATAATATAGACCAGTAGATATATTGTAGACGTGGTAGATGTAATGAAAGACCCATGTTATTACTGTACCTGTGTTCCCTGTACATATTCTAATGATAATATAGACCAGTAGATATATTGTAGACATGGTAAATGTAATGAAAGACCCATGTTATTACTGTACTTGTGTTCCTTGTACATGTTCTAATGATAATATAGACCAGTAGATATATTGTAGACATGATAGATGTAATGAATGACCCATGTTAATACTGTACCTATGTTCCCTGTACATATTCTAATGATAATATAGACCAGTAGATATATTGTAGACGTGGTAGATGTAATGAAAGACCCATGTTATTACTGTACCTGTGTTCCCTGTACATATTCTAATGATAATATAGACCAGTAGATATATTGTAGACGTGGTAGATGTAATGACAGACCCATGTTATTACTGTACCTGTGTTCCCTGTACATATTCTAATGATAATATAGACCAGTAGATATATTGTAGACGTGGTAGATGTAATGAAAGACCCATGTTAATAATAATACATGTGTTTCCTGTACATATTCTAATGATAATATAGACCAGTAGATATATTGTAGACGTGGTAGATGTAATGAAAGACCCATGTTAATACTGTACCTGTGTTCCCTGTACATATTCTAATGATATATAGACCAGTAGACATATTGTAGACGTGGTAAATGTAATGAAGACCCATGTTATTACTGTACCTGTGTTCCCTGTACGTGTTCCAATGATAATATAGACCAGTATATATATTGTAGACATGGTAGATGAATCTTTGTATGTGATGCTGGTAGACAATGTAGTATCTCAACTAGTGGTGGAAGTATCTATTTAAAAAAATAGTAAAAACTTATATTAACCATTATGGTTAACATGGTTAGTCTGAATCTAGCAAATTATATTCGGCACTAGAAGACCTGTGATCCCCTGGCCCCGAAACTGAATAAACTGGTTCAAATATTTAACTGAATATAGATCGCATGACAGTGAGCTCTGATCATAGTGCTGGTACAAGTACTAATACTAATTATTATTGCAAAAAATGATAATATATTGCATATTTAGTAGGGAAAACTCCCCATGAGGCATCGCTGCATAGCATCTGAATCAAACACATGACATCATCAATGATTTTTTAGAGTATTTTCTGTGCGAGCATGTTATAATGAGATTATAAATGATACGTTTGGGTGTTTGGTAGCAGATACAAGATCTCTCTGGGTAAAATTAGCATATTTGGTGGGAGATAATAACCTCACTTACATTCAGTTATTGTCTCTCATCAGTGTCAGAGATGTTAGAGAGCACACATCTGTTGACTGATAATTCCATGTTAGTACTTACTTTGAGACATCTTTCCTGAGTGACTGCTATATCAGCTGGCAGTGCGTCTAATGATTTTGTCAAATCGGTAGATACACGTCTGAGATGAACTTCACTGACCCACTCTAGTAAGATAGCAAGTACGTCATACGCTGCATTCGGGTACTATAAAATGACAAGGAATAATTGAATATTAATGCTTGCTATAAGGTGCACACTACAAGAATTGGTAACCTGACAGGAACTCAAACTATTTGTTTTCCTTGCTTGATTAGTATTTCCACAAATATATATCTGTCTCGCAAGATTTTATGAACACTGGGATTGTCAGCACATGTCAATTGTGTCACTGGCGTGATATATATTAGGAATGAAAGAAAAACTAGATTTTTATGAAAATCTTTGTGAGTTGTTTTGCCACTTTCTGAACTTAGCTTTCCAAGAATTCTGAAACAATTACAAAGTATCTATTACCTATTAAAATGACCATAAAGTACATGTACTAATATTTTCAATCACTGATTACAAACCTTTGGCTGTTTACCAGTTGTTGATTTACCAGAATCACTCAGAGTGTCCTTATCCTGTTTCCTAGGTTTTACAAGTGGAATATTTTCAATGTCTCTGTTTCTATCAGAGAATTCATGTTTCCGTTGTAGATTTAACAATCTGCTGTTAGCACTACTTGCTTGGCTTTCAAGTTTCTTGTTTTGTTCCTGCAGATCTGCAACCTTTGTAATAACATGAAAAGAATTAAAGACTGTACCCAACTGGGTTGTACTCTGCAGCCATATAATGAAGTCTGTACCCAAATGGGTTGTACTCTGCAGCCATATAATGAAGTCTGTACCCAAATGGGTTGTACTTTGCAGCCATATAATGGAGCCTGTACCCAAATGGGTTGTACTTTGCAGCCATATAATGGAGCCTGTACCCGAATGGGCTGTACTCTGCAGCCATACAATGAAGTCTGTACCCAATTTGGTTGTACTCTGCAGCCATATAATGGAGACTGTACCAAAATGGGTTGTACTTTGCAGCCATATAATGGAGACTGTACCCAAATGGGTTGTACTTTGCAGCCATATAATGGAGACTGTACCCAAATGGGTTGTACTTTGCAGCCATATAATGGAGACTGTACCAAAATGGGTTGTACTTTGCAGCCATATAATGGAGACTGTACCCAAATGGGTTGTACTTTGCAGCCATATAATGGAGCCTTTACCTAAATGGGTTGTACTTTGCAGCCATATAATGGAGCCTGTACCCAAATGGGTTGTACTTTGCAGCCATATAATGGAGACTGTACCCAAATAGGTTGTACTATGCAGCCATATAATGAAGTCTGTACCCAAATGGGTTGTACTCTGCAGCCATATAATGAAGTCTGTACCAAAATGGGTTGTACTTTACAGCCATATAATGGAGCCTGTACCCAAATGGGTTGTACTCTGCAGCCATACAATGAAGTTTGTACCCAAATGGGTTGTACTCTGCAGCCATATAATGGAGACTGTACCAAAATGGGTTGTACTCTGCAGCCATATAATGGAGACTGTACCAAAATGGGTTGTACTTTGCAGCCATATAATGGAGACTGTACCAAAATGGGTTGTACTTTGCAGCCATATAATGGAGACTGTACCCAAATGGGTTGTACTTTGCAGCCATATAATGGAGCCTGTACCTAAATGGGTTGTACTTTGCAGCCATATAATGGAGCCTGTACCCAACTGGGTTGTACTTTGCAGCCATATAATGGAGACTGTACCCAAATGGTTTGTACTATGCAGCCATATAATGGAGACTGTACCCAAATGGGTTGTACTTTGCAGCTATATAATGAAGACTGTACCCAAATGGGTTGTACTTTGCAGCCATATAATGGAGCCTGTACCCAAATAGGTTGTACTTTGCAGCCATATAATGGAGACTGTACCCAAATGGGTTGTACTCTGCAGCCATATAATGGAGACTGTACCCAAATGGGCTGTACTTTGCAGCCATATAATGGAGACTACCCAAATGGGTTGTACTCTGTAGCCATACAACAGAGTCTGAACTCTAATGGGTTGTACTCTGTAGCCATACAACATAGTCTGTACTTTAATGGGTTGTACTTTGCAGCCATATAATGGGGTCTGTACCCAAATGGGTTGTACATTGCAGCCATATAATGGAGACTGTACCAAAATGGGTTGTACTTTGCAGTCGTATAATGGAGCCATATACCGTACTAGACCGCGTAAGCGTCCAGGGGCCTCAACTCAAAAAATCACGATTTTTTAGGAGTGGGCGCTTACCCGAGCACCCCCCTCGAAAAAGAGTGCAAATGAAAAATTTGATTCATCAAGTGACAGATTACGTCTTTGAGGGAAAATCAAATTACGAAATTAGTTGAGTCGTCAATGATTTTCACAAGGAAGAAACAAAAATAATCACAAAAATATGCACATTTTATTACCAGAATTTATGAAATTAAAAACATTTGAGTCTGTTGGAACACAGTCGAAGTCAAAATTGTCATATTATCTCCACTGACGAAGGTGTTGGATCGTATGCAAAC